GTAAAGAACTTGATGAGTTTTTTAGTTTGAGAAATATTTCCTAATTAGGAAATTTGGTGATGGACGGGAAAGAGTTTTTGATTCAAATTTTTAATATGGAAATTTTTTTTAATATTGATTTTATAAAATATAATATTAAATAATATCAATAAAAATTCTACTATTGTATTACTAAAAGTAATTATATTTTTATAAAAATAATATTAATTCAATATTCTTTTTAAAGTTTTTTATTTGATAATTAACAAATAAAGAAAATAGCAATCAAAATTAATATAGATGAAATATAGTTCAGTTTATATATTTAAATAAAATATTAATATTTTTGTATAACAAATTGTAAAGTTTAGTTGAAATTAAATTAAAAGTTTTACTTTGTACAATTTTTTTTATATAATTTGTTACAATCTTATAATTATTAAAAAAACCAAAAGTCTTATCTTTATATAATTTAATTAGTAATAAGTTTTTTTATAACTAAGTAGGTTTAAACTTTAGATTTTTATATATAGTAATAATCTATAAAACTTTATTACTAAGCTATAAATTTATAGATTAATAATTTTTTTTTTTTTTTTTAAGTAGGTGAACATTATCTCTTTATTATTATAAAAATTTAAAATTATTTTACATGTAGAAAGTGACAACATTTCTTACATTACTAATTAATTAGTGAGTCTAATGTTAGCTTACCTATAAAAACTATTTAAGTGATATGAAAAATAAATATTAAAACTGATGTATATTCTAAATAGTGTCGAATAACTATGAATACTTATTTAGATTTATATGTAAGATTATAAAAAAAATTGAAAATTGAAAAAAAAAGAAATCACTAAGCAAAAAAAATAAATACAACAACACTAATTGTAAAACTATAGATGCTTTAGATAAAATCACTAAGTACACTATATTGGTAGTTCCATTTAACTAAAGTACTGTTACATTTCCAAAAATGACCAGACTATTGTTCAAAGTGTACAATAGTATTAATGATATATCTTTTTGATAGATAATTAGTTGTGGTGATAATATTGTTATTGTAATGATATGATTTGTGATTGGTTTTATTGTTAATGGTGTGATTTCATTTTGATTGTTGTCACCATAAAAGAAATTGTTTATGTTGATCAGAGTATAATATTTTGGTTATATGAATTTGTTTGAAAAATTGATAGTGTTTAATTAGTTAAGTTTGAAATGTTGATCAATTGACAAGAGTAAATTGATTATGATTTTTTGGTTTTTGGTGATGCAGCAAAATATACTAAGCAATAGTAAGAAGTAAACATTAAATATATTGTTGATATTCCAAGTCAATAAATAATATAAACAATTTTGATGTAAAATCTGATTTTTTAAAATAAAAGAAGTCCTTCAAGTAGAAAGTATAATTATTTAAAAAGATTTGTATATTGAAAAGAAAAGAAAATAGAAAGAATATCAAGGAAGATTTATAAAAAAGTAATTGCCACAGGCCTTTTCTTATGCAATTCAAAAAAAAAAACAAGTTTTTCAAACTTGCTTTTCTCTGACCAAAGGTTCTATTCTGATGTATCAGTATATTTCTTTGATTTTCTTGAAGCTTTTGTAATGAAGAAAGAGGAAGTGTGAAAGACTTTTGGGTATTAAAAGGTAAAAAAAATATTTGTTTCTTTAATTTTGAAGAAAAATTACTATAAAAAGAAATTTTTAAGAAAAAAGTTGTATATAGAAAAGAGTTTTTTTTTTAATTGCTTTAATTTTATATTAATAATTTTTTTTTTTTTTTTATACCAGAATGGCAATTAGTATCATTATTATTTATAAGAGATTGCTATATGACAATATTACAAATTTAAAAACTAATATATATCTCTTTTTGCTAAGAAGAATCTAATATAAGATGCAACAAAAATGGTTCCGACCATTCCAGTATTGTTCTATAAACCCACCTAAGTGCTAGTAAAATGTAATATTAAAACCTAGACTTAATACTTAAATGGGTACCTAGTGTGAACTAGGAAGAATTAGAAATACCCAAATATATGAATTCACTGCAACCAAGTATACAGGTTGGTCTCCAAGTTATAAGTGGAATTTGGCATGCTTGCTTTCCAAAGTTAACTTGATATACAGCAAGCAGAGAAGTGGAGGAAGAGAAAGTTGATTTTTTTCTATACATGAATGCACTGCAGTCACTTTTCACAGGTTGGCCTCCAAGTTACATAAAGAGTTTGACATATCCATTTTCCAAGTGTGGCAGAAGTATCCAATGGATAGAGTTGAATTGGAATTTCTTAAAGACATTGTTACTTAATTATGCACATGGACCTATATTGTCGAGGGGTAATCAAGGAACTTCTGTTGTCGACACCAGCTCTGTTTGCTGGGGTAATTAGAATTCCTGGTTGTCACATGTTATCTTACTAGGTATTCCAGACATTAGCCTGTTACTTGTAGGAATCTATACTGGCATTGACTGTATATTAATAATAATAATTTTTTTTTTTTTTTTTTTTTTTTTTTTTTTTTTTTTTTAGAGACAAAGTGCATTACATGCGAACTTTATTAACTTAGCATTGAAGTTACAATCATATTAATAATTTTTTTATATTATATTTAATTTAAATATATATAGTAATCTCTTTATAAATATATATTTTTTAGAATCATAAAAAAATTTTTAAAAATGTATATTTATAAAAAAAATAATTTTATAGAAATAATTTTATTAAAAGTTTTATATATTTGAAATCAAGCTTAATTATGAATTTAAAGAAAAAAAATAATAAGTATATTTATAAAAAGAAATTTAAAAATATTTCTATATATATATAAATTTTAATTTTTTTAAAAATATATTGTAAGAATATATATAATAACTTCAAAAAAATAATATAAATTTTAATTTATTTTCTTGAATAAACAAATTTTTCTTTTTTAAAAAAAATTATATTTAAAAATTTTAATTAATTATGAATAAAAATATTAGGTTTATAAACTTATATAATAACTTGATATTTTTTTAATTTTTAATTTTTTCAATATTTGACAAGTATATAATTTTGTATGGTTAGTTAAAATAAATAAAAAAAAAGCCATAAGAAATTATAGTAATAATATAATGAGTATATTAGATATAAAAGATATAATAAATATAATATTATATAAAATGAAAAAATAATTTGTAAATCAATAGTGTAACAGTTAATAATTTCAGATTTGAATTATAAGATATCAAGTTTAATTTTAAATAAAAACAATTGAATTATTTAAAAAAATATTTGATATTATGACTTGTTATAATACTGTTTTTTATATAAAGTTATTTTTTATATTAACATGATAATATTAAAATTATTATATTATATAAGGGTAATATAACATTTGCTTTTAGTTGGATGGTTTGATAATTATTTTCTTTTGATATCTAATATTTCTTTTTGTAAGTTATTAAAAAAATCTTATTTTAAAATTGCTTTAATAAGTTACTTATTCTGGAAAAGCAACTGCAATAAATATTAATGATTGAAACAATTCATAAGCAATAAGTTGAGTTTTAATTTATCTTTTTGCTCACATTGGAATATTTTAATTCAGCATATTTTTTAATTGAATTTCTCAAAGTTTACTTTATTTTACAAATCCATATATTGAATGACTTTTAACAATTTTTTATTGTTCCAATTCAGAATATAATTAAAATCAATTATTAAAAAACTTTTTGAGTAAACTTATTTTTTTATATATATTTAACTATGTAAATAGAATTTGCATGTTATTTATCAATTGGTTATTGAGATATTTTTTCAAATATTCTTTTTTTTAAGAAACAAAATAATAAAAATGGTAAAGTTTTATTTAAAATTTTAATAAATTAAAAAAGTTAAAATGACAATTTATATTAAAAATTTAAACGGAAAAATATTTATCATAAAGTTCTTCTTCGTGGCCCTGTTCACATGTATCAGTCCGTGGTAAGTTAGTAAGTAACCTTTCTGTCTTTTGGATACTAGGCAAAATAGCGTCGTATCACAGTAAGATCACGCTTCACTTTACGTGAAATTTAAAACCTTCGTATTGATAAGAGTTTTGCCTTATTAAAACAGACAAGTACGCGTCTTAACGACGTTTGGGTTGGTTTTCGTTTACATTACTTAAATAGTTGCGCAAAAAATTGGCGTTTGAAATTCATGTTGATTATCGTGATTTCGTAACTCGCGGTAATGGTGTTCGTACGTATGCAACATACCATTCTATATCACTGCAGTTGTTACATGTTTTTAAACGCATTTTTTTTTATTCGCATACAGGTTCCTTCACTAGTTTCAATATTTTAGCACTAAGTCACCGGTTATACGTTATATTATGTAAATGCTATTCACATTTATCGAGTTTACTACTAAACTGCCAATAATAAAGAAGAAAGTAACCTTTTCAATAGTAAAAATGGGGACTATCTTGAATAGAAGCAAAGTCAAGTGCATCTCTCTTCCTTTTAAAAATTGTCAGGTATTTAAACAGGTGCATATATGTTCAAATTGACAAAAACAAACATATATAGGGAATAGATAAAAATTTTGCTTTCCTAACGACATTCATTTTACGACATACGAGGTAATGATCTTTCGCTCATCAGTGATTAACGTATGAATTGTATTAAATAGGGTCTTTATCAAAAGCTCAACTCTAAAGATAGCGATAACGTTAAAAAACCATGTGAGAATACAATAAAGGTTATGTGCAGTAATGGGTTCTTGTACGTAAGTGCTCTTCTATTCGTATTCTCATATCGTTAATATTCAAAAATCCCATTGAGGGGCTTGCAGGTATTACCATGTTGGTATGAAAGATGTCCTTAAAAAAGAAAAGTTTCTTAGGAAAATAGATCCTAGAAAAAATAGTTATAAAAAGTCTTCGCTCCAAACCTTCAACCAAAAATTTAGGATCATACCTGAATAAATAATAAAATGGCAGGTGCATTAAAAATATTAGTTCCCCAAACAAAAGTGTTGATTTCTACGGCTGTCGACCATTACACGAAAGGTCCTCCACAACCGTCCTGGGACCTTCGGTTCCACCTAACTTTCTCCGTGTTGAAATCTCTATGCGCAGGTTGCATATACCAGACAATCGAAAACGCTCAACAATTATCTTGCATGTCTCCTCCTTCACTACCGGCGGGTTTCATCGAGGATCGGGTGGTGATCTCTAATGAGTATAGGAGGCGAGCCCAACCTTATTTGGAAAAGATTTTAAGTGAATATGAACATGTGCTGGATGACGAGTGGAAGGAGCTGGAGGATGAGAAAGAGGTGGAACGGGACAACGAGAAAGAGGATGTTGTAGGAAATAGAAAATGGTTGAGTGCGAAATGGATTTATTCAAAAGAACAAGGATTTAAAAGAATGATGAATAACAAGAGGGTGATACTCTATCTACATGGAGGTGCCTATTTCATGTGTAGCGCGGATTCTCATCGAGTTATCACCGCGAAGATTGCCGGGGAAGCCGATGCTCTGGTATTTGGTGAGTAATAATTATCTTCACCTATAAGTATTCCGTGTTTGACCATTCATGCATGAAGAAATAAATACGCATCGTTTTGAATTTCACCTTAAAAGCGGTGAATTATCGGCTAGCGCCTCAGCACCAATTTCCGGCTGCAGTACATGACGCCTTGGCCGCATATCTCTACCTCACTAATCCGCCCGAGGATGCTGGTTTCGAAGCAATTGATCCTAAACAAATTGTTATAATGGGTGATAGTGCAGGTGGTGGTCTAGCCATCGCTCTCGGATTATTAATCAGGGATATTGGGTTACCAATGGTTGCTGGATTGGTTGGTTGGGTTGGTATTTTTCCTTATTTGGAATCCTGAAGGTTGATGTGCATTTGACCTTGAATATTTCTTCTTCTCTCTCAGTCTCCATGGGTAGACCTTACTCACAGTATGCCCTCTGTCCTGAGCCCTCTTTCCGATAACACTGATTATCTTCCCAGTTCCGGCTTCGTTTACAGACCTTCACCAGTCCTAGATGACTTCCATCGTAAATCAGAAGCCTTGTCAAAACGCATTAAGAAAGAAAATCGACCTCAATTCTGGGATAGTTCGTTAAATCGTGAAGAACGAGTGCAATTATATGCACCCAATGAAGCATTGACGGTGTCTTATGTGAGTCCGATGTGTGCTGAGAGTCTGGCGGGACTACCACCCATGTTGATAGTGAGTGTCACCTGATTTCTCTGTATGTTACCACGTGATAAGATAGATGTTAACTCACATTGGGATGGTTGATTAGCAAACCGGTGATGGCGAAAAAATCCGTGATGAGATAATATATTTTTCATTTAAAGCCAGTCAGCCGGAGAAATATAATTTGCCCTCTTATAACGCAGAAAAATTTAAAAGGTCACAGTTCAAGACGCCAACAAACGTCACATTGGAAGTTTATCAAGACATGCCACATGTGTTCCAGGTGAGTTTTCTGAAGAACGAATGATTTCATCTAAAACTCGTGCGGTCAATCATTCTCACACTTTCATGCACAAAAAGCTGTTTGATTTCAATGCATCCGCCAAGGTGGCGTTCAAACATTCCGGAGAGTTCATCAAAAAAGTCATCAATACAACAAAAGATCAAACCTCCTCTCTGTCCAATGACTTTACGCCCTTGCTAAATCCTAACGAAAGCACATACTCGCTAATAACAACCACCGGAGAAGCCGTTCCGTTAAAAGAGAAACATTACTCGGTGCTGGAGTGGCCTGAGGTTGGCAAGGCACCGGCGGTAGTGAAATCTAAACCAACGACAACAAATCAGTAAGCACCACTTGCATTTTGGAAAGTTGGAAATGAAAATCATTTGTTACTCACCTTTTCCTCTCGCATTCTCCATCACATTTTAGGGGTTCCTCTTTCTTCCTTTATATGATGATGGCCCTTGTGGCGTTTATGTTCCACATTTTTGTGTGAAATTTATTATATACATTATGCCATTAAAAATGGCAACTTTTAATTTAAAAAAAAAAAGAAAAGTCACCTAGCTTGGCTTGTCTGGTGTTTGTTCTTGCGAACTTTACCTGAACATGTAATATAAAGTATTTAGGTATAATATTTGTGTATTTCCTAAAGGAAATAACGTCTGATTTCATAATAACAAATAAAATTCAAAAACAATGATATAAAAGGTGTCTGGTTTTGTCGATTCGAAAATCATGCAACCCTGCAATTGTTTGGTTAATTATTTAGATATTTTATATATCATATAATAGATCTGATATTTTTAATTCTTTTTTATTTACAATATATATATATATATATATTAAAAAATATATTAATTTAAATAATAATTATTATTATCATAATAATTTCAAAACGAATATATGGACCTCGAATTGTTTAATATCATCTTCGGTGTAAATAACTTTGTGTATATATTGCAATAAAAACATTTTTCATTTCATATTTAAATCAAATTCAGGTAAAGACAAATTAGCGAATCTTATAGATCTTAGAATAAAACCTATTATAATTATAGTTAACCCATTCATTAATGAATAATAAAAATATACTTAAAGGAATTATTTACAAGACAACTGCCAAGTTATCAAAAAAAAAAGGGGGGAAATTTTTTCTTGATCTACCCAGTGATAACGAATAACCTTTGATCTTTAGGGTAAGGTAAATCCAAAAGAAAATCTAAAAACAAACAAAAAAATTAAGATGGCATAATTTATGATTGGCGAAGATAATTGTGAATTTCATTGATGTTTCAATATGATCAATGTTTGCATGGTGAAAGGTTTCTACCCAACTCTATCATTGACGATGAAAAATTGTCAAATTCATAATTTATCGATTCGCACCGCCCCCCAGGAACTAATTGAATTTTTAGATTAATATTGAGCCATTCTGCTTGATTCCGCTTCAAACTCCTCGTTGCGGTTGTCGTCCGATGAATTGAGTTGTTCGATTATAATATTATCAATTTCGACCCACAGGGTTTTTGGTGGTCTCTCTTGGGTTTCGGGATCGTCTCTAGGAAGCTTGGTGATTCCCTTCTTGAGTCTCTTATTTACCCACTCTTTCAGGGCTAATTTTTTACCACGATCAACATCAATACGATACGGACTAATATACGTGGCTAAATCGCGAATACTAATACCATCATGATCATAATAATCATCGTTACGATCGAATCTAAGAATATAACGCATGTCACGCATGTCGTCGTCCTCATCACCAGACTCTTCGGGTGGATTCTCCTCAATTACCCTCAAGGACTTATAATTTGTATACTTGTAATACCAACTTAACTCAACGAAGGTCCTGACCACAGCCGTCGGATTACCCATTCCACATTCAACATATTCAAGACACGATCGACTATTATTTGGAAAAATATATCCATAGTCACTAAGCATTGAAGTGAGTAACGAGTATCTTTCTGATTTTGAAAGTCCAGTGTTGAAAATGCGCATGTTACAGAGCTTACAAAGTTGATGATGAACCGAATTTCGCTTATGGTTGTAGGAGGCTGGTGCAGATCTCTGGCTTGAAATTGCAAATGAACTTCTATCAGGCTCAGTAGTGACCAAAGAATTGACAATGTGGTGACTGTCTTGTTGATTCGCGATGGCGGCGGATGCTGATGGCTTTGAATTATCAGAATCTGATTTGATAGCTTTGAAAATTTCAGAACCAGATAATTCAGTTTTGAAAGAGACTTGAAAATCTGTGCCATCCTCATCGAAAATGTGAAACCAGTTTGTCTTCGTATTCCTGTAAATTTCGGCGATAGTGGACAAGTTCGTTTCCATTGAGCGAATGTTCAACCTTTCAAACCCATTATGACGACCACGGAAACACAAACTGCAGAAAGAATTCCAATCGCGCTCGACCACTTGCTTATAAGTCTTGTACTTTCTGGCTCTTGGCTTCGGTGGAATCAAGTTAAGTTTTGTAACCAAGTGTCGCCAATAAAGATGCGAGTCGGCTGCCAGTTGCCAAGACTTACAAACCCTTGCAACACGGGTATAGTGTACCGGATGGTCCACCAAATAATTAAAAATGTTACAAAGGATTTCTTGGGGAATTCTCATTGCGACAGGAAGATAAACTGAATTTATTGGAGTTGAAGCGGGACCTCCCAGACGAGACGTGGTTCTTGAACGTTTGTAACTTTGACGCCTTGTGGAAATTATGTGGGTCTCTAGTTCCATTTTATCAGCGCTAATTTGAAATTAAATTGAATGGTAAGGTTAAATCGAACAACATTCACTATGTATGTGTTTTTTTTTTTTTTTTTTTAATTTGATCGACTTGGAAAACTTACTTGTGTGAGTGACTAAAGAAAAAGTTTTTTTTGGAAAGCATAAAACAAAAAAATTGTCACGTCGAATTAGCAATTATTGCGCTAAAAAATACAGCACAGATGGATTCCTTTTTGTCGTTATAAGAAATAAAAATGGAGAACGATTATTTGATATTGTTTCGAGGACTGTTTAGACGTATTTATACTGGAAACAAATAGATAACTCGCCACATGACCGAATTACATAAATATTGATTTAGAGACAAAGTATATGGGAAAAGATCGTAACACTAAAAATGATGAGAGTCATAAAATTCCCCAAAAAAACTGATTGTATGACAGACATAAAGCTTATTGGAGTTGATTGTCCGACAAATATGTGGAATTCTATTCCGTGAGTTTCATGGAATTCTTTGATTAGGAAAAAACAGAAGTTCCTTAAATCGTTCACGTCACGCACTTTCTAAAGAAGTTTTTAACAAAAGATAAGTTTTGAAATTTAGATTGTGTTCGTTAAATCTTATATTAAAATTAAATCTTTGCATCTTTCCCGAACTCTGTAATTGTTTTCCTTACTCCCAACGTATGTGTTTTCCAACCGTTAAATTAAATCCATTAAATATTTTGATAGAAATTATTCACCATTTCAACGTTAAACATAATTCTATACGTTCGGTGAAATAAGTTTTTGATATCTAGACAATGTATTTTCGTTTATCTCGACTAAATTTGGTAATAAGCTTATTACGAAAGATTCAAACAATTTAAATTCATTGTCATTAACATCAAATTGATACTAATTAAGAAAAAACTCCTTCATTGTTATAACAAAACAACAAATATAATGTTAGTATCTGTTTTTTTAAATCATGAATGTAGATATCGTGTATTTGGACAGGTGATACTTCATTTGGAACATGTATGAAAGATTTCATCATATAATGTCAATATTGATTATAGACTTTATAATTATTTTTTGTTATGAAATATAATAGAAAAATAAATATCATACTGTACATATGAAATATAATTATTTTTTAATTATTTTTATTTTTTTATTTATATATTATAAAATTAAATTAAATTTTATTAATTTATAGTGAAATGAATATATATGAAGTGACTATACCTGATAGAATACATCATCTTGATTTGAATCTTTTTCAATATTAAATTGAATATACATGAGAATTACTAAAGAATCTTTATAGTCTTTTACTTTGTAATAAAATAGATCAAAAACTTGTACAAATTTTAAGATTTTCAGAATTAAAAATTTTTTTATATAGTATTTAATCTATTGTAAGACTAACTGCAAAAGAATATAAAAATCTAATGAAAGTTATGATTTTTGTAATGGATAATATATATGACAAAAGTATATACAATACAGATATTAAAGAATTGCCAATAATTTATCAAGAATGAAATAAAATGTATATAATTAATAGATATAAAGAGTTTTTCAAAAGTGATTTAAAAAAATTTGAGATATGAAATAATTGTTTATTTAATTCTATTATAAAATATTTAAATTATATTTTATTATAGGAGTCTATTAATATATAAGCATAAAGATTTATAAAATTATTTAAAAGATTTTTAGCTTTATAACTAAAACTTCCAAAATTATACTCATGGATATATCATATAATTTTATATATTCAAAAGTATAGAATAATTAATGAATTTACTTCAAAAACCTACAAAAGTCTTTACAAAAAACATGTTAAACAACCTTATTATTTAAGTAATAAAAAAAAGATTGAAGAACAATCAATGCAAAATGTAAGTATATAAATTAATTAACAAACTTTTGAAATATCTAACATTATTATATATTTTTAGAATCGAAGAAAAATAAT